ATGGTGAAAAGAGGAGTGGTGTGAGGTAATGAAAAGATACAAGAGAAGGAGGAGGAAGAGAAAGAAGACTGTCAAAAATTACTAGTTTGGAATATATTATAATTTGAGTGTGTTATATGTTTTTTTTTCTCAAAGTCCCTCTTTTTTTCAAATGTGCTCAGTATTTCCTACTCATAAATCCAGCATTGTTTTGTTTACTTGACCTTGAAGCTAGCATTTTCAAGAATTATTCAAATTCTTGGATATCTCTAATGGAGAAGTGCTTAGTCAAGATGGTAGACTTGCCACTAAATTGTATTGGGCCGATAAAGAATGGATCGACTTTAGACCCACCATGTTCCTTGGACACATTGACTTTTTTGGGCCACTGGTACATAGATTACGTTATATTGTCTTGTTGAATTCAATGGCTTTGGGCCACACAATAGAGTTCGATGTCGAGAGCCTTAACTTCAGGTGAAATGATTGTATGCCAATAAAAAAAAAATGACTAAACATTCAAAGTGAAAAAAACAAAAAACAATGTAAAGGGGATACTGTAATTTATGTAAAAATTATACTATATAATTATATATTTATGAGCCACTCCCTTTGGTTCAAAATATATGCAAATTTTAAAAACAAAAAATATGTATACCATTAAAATCATCATTTTCAAAAAAATATATTAATCCCAGTCACCAATACATTTTATGATGAGTGAAAGATAAATTTTTACAAAAATATAAGTTAATAAATACAAGAAGTAAAAGAGAATAAAACATTATTTTATTTATATTTTAAATCAAAATTAAGTTAAGAGAAAGTGCTTATATTTTGAACTGAAAGGAGTATATATCTAATTTCTAATCTTACAATTAAATCACGGCTTGGAAGATCCTCAACTTTGAAACTAAAAAGAACAGTATTGTAAGGGCATATTTGATTTTCCCCCTCATTTTTTATTTTTAAAAAATTTTTTGTAAATGAATTTTTAATTTTTTTTAAAATATTATTTGGTTATGTTAATCTGAAGACAATTTTAGAATTGAAAAATTGGTGGTAGTAATGATTGTGGGTGGTTAATAATGCTGACCTATAATAATAGTTTATCATAATTAAAGATAGTTTATAATAGTACTCTTTCCGTTAAAAAATATAAAGCATTTTTAATTGAATCTCACCCTTCAATAAAGTAGTTACTTACTTTCTAAATAATCCTGTCTTTTCATATTTATCCATATTAAATACCCTATAATAAAATAAAATTATTATCAATAGGAGCATTTTTTTAAAAAAGGCAATGATTACACCACAAAAGACTAACAATGCCTTATATTTTTGAATATCTAACTCCTAAAAAAATATCTTACATTTTTGAATGGAGGAAGTATATTTTAAATAAATAATAATAATTTTAAAATATTTCAATTGTTTAAAAAAAATTTGAAATATTATTTAAATTCAAATAACTTATTTAAAGTTCTTTATTTTGAAAAAAAGAAAAAATAATTTTTAAAACAGAAATCAAACCGATCTAAATAACAAAGTTTTTTCTCTGTGGGATGGAAAATTACAAAATACCCTTATATTGTAATTCTCTCTTTTATAACTGGCGAAACCACTTTGGGCTCCCCAAAAAAAAAAAAAAAAGAAAAAAAAGAAAACATTGGCGAAACCACCGGCCTCAAAGAATACTAGAGCATTATTACAAAGATGACAATCACATTTTTTATTACTCTAAAACTTTCTGCCAAGACACTGGAACAGCTTCATGAGATGATGCTGGCTATTATAAAGAGCAATGATACAACCAAGCTTGCTTAAGACTCTGATGGGAATGAAATAAAATGTTTGACAACCTCGAGTCTCGATCCTCTGAAAGCATCAGCGAACTCAACCCCATGACCACTACCTTCTTCAAATTTTGCCACCACCTTCACTCCCTTCTCCTCCATTAATCTCGCCATCTCTCTTCCTATGTAAACCAGTGGCTCCTCCCCACTCCCACTGTAAGTCTGTCCTGTGGGTCCCACCGAAGAAGGGTTGACGCAATATCAACCCTTGGATCTTCAGTGGCTCCGGATCATTCGCTTCCTCAGCTACAGTTAGTCCTGCAAGGTAGGCGATTGAACCCCCTGAGCTGTTCCCCATTACGTAGCAATTGGAATAGTCAACGAACCTTTTTAACCATTCACCAGGGCTGGTTTTGATACAGTGAAGCGCTTCCACCGCATCGTCGTAGGCCGCCGGCAACCGGTGCCCCGGGGCCAGGTAGTACTCCATGGATGCCAGTACAGCTTCCACGTGGCTAGCTATCTTGGAACAAAAGTCATAGAAAGCAGCAGAAGCAGGACTGAAATAGATGAAACCACCTCCATGAAAGTAAACAATGAGAGGGGGCTTATTGGACGGATGATTATCCAGTTCTTTGTGGGGTAGGAATAGTCGGGCCCAGGTGTTGTTTGATTGGTTAATGGTGATGTCTTTGGAGATAACAGAGATAGGAAGGTTGGGATCGGATGTGGGAGATATTAGTGTATCATGAAAGAAGCGAGTGAGAGTACCATCTGGATTCAGAGCGACTTGGAGGAACTGGCAAGGATAAAGGGATTCAGATGCTGACATGGTAATAGAGAGAGAGAGACAGAGGGAGGGAGAGAGAGAGTATGTAACTACTGTTTGGAGGACGAAGATGATGAGCTGTGCCTACGGCTGCAGCATGATGCTCTAATTTCAATACAATTACTTCGGCACCAAGTTAACGTGGACTTGATTCCAATAATTTTTCATTTTTAAATCATTTCTACATGACTTATGGTTATGGGGCTGCCACAATATTTGACCCCTCGCTCTCTCCCCAGTTTCAAATATAAGTTCATTAGTAATATATGCACGTGATGATAAATATTTAGGAAATTGGTTGAAAGTAGTTTAACTAATTAATTAAAGGGAAAATAACAATGAAGTGGCGTTAAAAAAAATTTATATCAATTAAGAATTAATTATTATCAAAATTCGAATGAAAAAAGGTCTGAATGAACTTTTATTAATTTAAAATAAATTATTATTAAAATCTAAATGAATACTTGTTAATAAAAAACGAATCTAAATCAATAAATATTTATTTTAATTTTGACAATAAGTAATTTTTGACTGATATTTTTTCTTAATTAAATTTTTAATGTAGCAAAATTATTTTTCTGATATATTTCTAATTAACTTCTTCAAAGTAAACTGAATTATTCCTGATAAAAATAAGGAATATTATTGATTCATATGATTTAGAAAAGTGACTTATATTTTGCAAGGGGAAAACTCTAATAATAGGAAAATTACATAAGGTTAAAATGCAAAAATACCTATAAAGTATTTTATGAGCAACTACTAGCATTCTTTACTCAATTATGGTGTAATTCCACCTATTAACTCTGAAAAAATAGTGTAATTCCTAATCTGTGAAAGAGACGCGGCGTCCACTAAGTAAGGATAGTGGATCCCCATGCTATCCATGAAGTGGTACACTATGGCGCAATTTTGCCCATTAATCCAAAAAAAAAAAAACGGTGCAAAAATCCCTAATTCATAGCAAATGTACTTGTTAGCAAATATTGCCCATAAATGTTCAAAACATTGAATTTTTTTTTTTGTCATAATCTGCGCACATGCATACATAGAAATACATGTTTTTTTTTTTTTTCAATTTTGTCCTAATTAACTAAAATTAACCTTCGGCATGACAATTTATTTTGTGACACATCAGAGCCACATATAAACATATATATTTTGATTCAAAACCCATGTAGAAGCTCTTTGTACCAACTCTTAACTTTCTTCTCTTAAAGTTAGTTCAAACTCCCTTCCCTATCTCAATCGTAAAATGTGACAAAATAAAATATTTTGCTCAGAGTTTGTGTTAGTTAAGGCAAATTTAAACACATGTATTTTCTCATTTACACTTTGTGTCAAATAAAATTTGTTTTTAAACGTTCACAATTAACGTTTACTAGTGTAGTACATGATGGATTATTTTTGCCCCTAACTCATTTACACATGGCAATCACGTGGGATCCACAACCCTCACTTAATGGACGTTTGACTTTCATTACAAAATCGGGAGTTCTGTACCATTTTTTAGGGCTATTGATAGATAAAATTGTACCATACTTGAGTTAAGGATACCAACAGCTCCTTGTAGAATATTTTGTATATCATAACTCATGTATGGGCTACCTCTAAGGTGTCTCACATATTTTCACTTCTAAATAGTGCATTAGATATACACATAGAGGTTCAAGAGGAAGAAGAACATGATAACGACGCAAATGTTGGTGAGCCTCTCTGTGATCAGGGATCCATAAAACCCCATCCGAAGCCAATACCAGGCAATATTTCAGGTATATATATATATATATATATATCCTGCTTCATTTATTGGGCCATTATATTGATTTTTCCAGATCTTTGCTTTGTTTAGGTGGCAAATTTTATCAAGGACAAATTAAAGTGTGATATAGGAAATGAGAGTTATCACACTAGTGGAGATTATTATGGAGAACTAGGTCTTTCTCTCAATTTCGGTGTCTTCCTTGTCCTTGTCCATGCACTATATATGGAGTTCAAGACCCTTAAAATTATATTGGGCTTAATTATGTAATTATACGATTACAAAGAATGTAATTTTAATTTGGATCTTAAAGTTCAACCACAATTTATTTAAACTCCTCAAATTTGAAACAAAGAGAAATCATTTTTATAGTATGGGAGTACGTTAGAAGATGTTTCTTGAATGATCTGGCTTTAACTCTGAAAAGATGTAATGTAATTCTAAAGAACACCGAATTATAACAAGAACGCTAACTTTTTTTTTTATTTTGACCATATCTATTTCTCTCTAATACTTTTGCTGCATCCCTAAACCAAAATAGAATACTAAATAGCCTAGTTATTACATCTATATGATGATACTTTATTATGTAACGTAAAGATAATAAATATCTGTTCTGATCAACCACATTTTCTTAAGCCACTGATGATGATGATGAGATAAATTGCTTGAAGGCCCCAACGAGTCTCGAACCTTCGGCAGCATCAATGAGCTCAACCCCATGAACACCATCTTCAAAATCAATCACCACCTTCACTCCCTTCTCCTCCATTAATCTCGCCAACTCTCTTTCTCTGTCAACCAGTGGTTCCCCTCCATTCACACTCACCATCACCTTCCATCCCACCTCTCTTATCTTCCCCATCTTCTCCAGCCAATTCCCCACCGTTGGATTACAGCACTCGTGATCACGGTTCACATCCACTGGCAACGCCAGATCCCACATCAAGTCGCTCACACACACCAGAAAAAACAGGATTCTTCTCCTCACTTCTGACTCCGTCCTCTGAATCCCACCGAAAAATGGTTGACGCAGCATCATCCCTTTTATCTTCATCGGTTCAAGATCCTTAGCTTCATTGGTTATACGCAGGCCTCCACTGTAGGCGATTGCACCACCTGCACTATTCCCCATCACGTAGCAATTGGAATAGTCAACGAAGTCTCTTAGCCAATCATCAGGGCTGATTTTGATCCAGTGGAGCGCCTCCACGGCATCGTCATACGCCGCTGGCAACCGGTGTTCTGGGGCAAGGCGGTACTCCACGGATGCCACCACTGCTTCGATGTCGTTGGCCATGGTGGAACAGAAGTAGTGGAAAATGGTCGAAGCGGCGCTGAGAATGACGAAGCCACTTCCGTGGAAGAAAACGATGAGAGGGAGCTTGTTAGAGGGATGATGATTCAGTGCTTTGCAGGGGAGGAATAATCGGACCCAGGTGGCGTGTGATTGGTTAATGGTTAGATCTTCGGTGAGAACAGAGACAGGAAGTTTGAGATCAGGTGTGGGAGATGTTCGTGGAACATCAATGAGGCGAGTGAGAGTTCCATCTGGATTAAGGACGATTTGGAGGAACTGATAAGGATCAAGAGATTCAGATGCTGACATCGTAATACTAATCATAGAGTATATACAAGTTTGGGCTTATTTTTATTAAGATGAATATGAAGATGAAGATGAAGAAGAACGGCTTTTATGGCTGAAACTTGATCGATGGAATTAAAAGGAGAAAAAACCTTTGAAGATCAGATTTTGAATATTCATTTTAGGGTTTATCCATATTTTATTTTAGTTATTATAATTTTATATTCAATTATAGTTATCTTTTAGGATTTTGTCAATTAATTAATAGTATGATTTAGAGTATTTATATTTAGGATTTTTTAAATATTCTCATATTTATTTCTGGATTTAGGAAAAAGTCTATATAATTTCTTAACTGAGTTACTTTGTACGCCTTTTAACAAATAAAATTTGATAATTTTTTCCTCATACACGAGTCTCTCTCTCCCAATTCTCTCTTTTCTCTTGTTCTCCTTTCTCTCTTCCCTTCTCTATTCTCCCTCTTATCTCAATTGACATAAGATAGGTTTCCATCTCAATTCTACTATCAAACTCTAAAAGAAAAGCCTTCTCCCTTGAGCCGCCGTAACTTTTCATTCTTGATCTTATTTCTTTACATTTTCACACTATTTGCTTAAATATATATATATATATATATTTTTTTTACATCCAAGATCTTTTTAGATCCAAGAATCATCATATGGGAGCATTCTTTAGGGGTAAAGATTCTAATTGAAGATTCTTTCAGTTACTTGGTAAGGCACCTTAGCTTTATCCTACATTTTAATTTCAAAGGCTTTTGAATATAATGGGGATAGTTATTTGGTGTTCTTGCATAGTTCTTTTAATACCTGTTTGGGATAAAATATAAACCATTGCTTGCTAAAGCATTGGGTAAGTTATAAAGCTATTTGGGCCGAATGACTGACAAGTCAATCCCAATTTGAACAAAGGGGCTAGCCCCGAAGCTCAGTAGAAAGCCACGATAGGATAAACATGCTAAAATCCCAACAGTTGCAAACATTGGACTGTTGGTACATAAAGACATGATTCCAAGTAATTTCAAAATCCATGGGAACAGTATCATGGTGCCCAAGTATCACAGTGAGATGGGCTGGTTGCTAAAAATGGAAGACGCTGAGAAAGACCGTGCCATAAGTTTCATGAGATTTCTATTTCTTCAGTAGAACATTCTAGGTCTTAAAGGAGAGGTTTCCATCACTCTAACATTATAAATAAAATACGAAAACACAGAAGAAGGGCAATCAATACTCAACAAAGACTCACATTCTGCACTTATAACTTTTAGATTTATCAGTTATTTTTTCTTCAATTGAGACTTCTAACCTTTTCATATTTCAATAATAATAAAAAATACTTATTCTACCAATTCTTGCATATCTTTTACATCAAAGCGAACTATGGTAAGGGAGCCCAAGATCTTTTTATTATCAATTGAGACTTAGCATCTCTAACACGCCTGGTAATTTATTGTTCACACATGAACAATTTTTGACACACCTAGTGAGACTTGTGTAACAAAGATGGCAAGGATGAGAAAGGACAAAAGGACTAATGAAATAGGTGCTGGTTCTCACGAACCAAAAAGGGCCTTTACACTCATAATGTCAGAACAATTGATGCCTAAAGCTAAGGTGGTTGAACATCGTAAGCACATAATGTTAATGTCGACAAGTAGCAGTAGCATAAGCCATAGATTAAAGCCAAGAAGTGGACAAGCCAAGAAGTGCTACGGGGAATTCAAGATTGAATGGATAAATAGCTAGAAGAAAACCAAAAGTTCTTTGCTATATCCCTAAAATGTTGGAACACAGGGAAAAAGAACAATAGCAAATCATGATGCAGGCTTTGCATAATGGCATGAAGAACTTACCCACATCCTTAAGAGGGACTCCTTTAAAAGCAGGCTCAAACTTAGGGCTGCATGGAGGACAACAAATAGCAATTAATGTAGGCGCTGACCCTCAGGGCTTCTTAGTTGTAAGGGACCACCCTAATGCCCATATGTTTGCTAACACTAATCCTTTAAATAATCCCTTGTATTATTTATAGGAGCTCAACACGAGTAGCTAAGGGGCATAAGAATAGTCTCAGGACGTTAGAATGAGCTTTGAATTGATTGGTGAATATAGAGGCCTCAAGGATGTTATCCAAGACATATATGGATTGGGGGTGAGGCCAATTGGCTGTCCCACTTTCTCAAAGCCATATCCGAAGTATATAGACAGAGACAACCCCTACCCTCAGAGTTACATGATCCCAAACTTCACTCTATTCTTAAGAGACAAAATGCAATCTACCTTGGAACACATTAGAAGATTCATGATCCAATATGGAGAAATTGCCAACTATGAGAACTTTGTCAACTTATTGAGATTGTTCCTAAACACTCTCATTGGCTCGACATTCACATGGTACACTTCACTACCTCATAATTCAATCATTTGCTGGATGGAGATGGAGCAAAAGTTTCATGCATAGTTCTATAAGGCAAAACTGGAGGTCAGTATAGTAGAATTCTGCAAGCTCACCCAATGGACTGGGGAGACAATGGACTAATATTTGGTGAGGTTCAAATGGCTGAGGAGTAGGTGCCACGTGCCACTTCCAAAAACTGAATTTGTCAAGCTGGCCCATATAGGCTTGGATATAAAGCTCTAGAAGAAGTTTTAGGGGATGGAATTCTGTGATTTCTATGAGCTTATATCTAAGGTTTAGGGATACAAAGAATTGCTGAAAGAGGAAGACCATCACAAATAGACTACAGCAAGAACCTACTTTAGTGACCTTGATGTAACAACGGCAAAACTAAAAAATACAGGCAACTACACGTGCTCAGCCTTGATAAGGAAGGCCGGGGAGACTCTCAAAAGGCCTAACATAGTACAATACACATTTAATACTATTAAAATAGAGGAAATCTTTGATTTCCTACTTAAAGAAAACTTTATCTCGCTTCTTGCTGACCACAAGATTCCTTTAAAAGAGGAGTTGAGAGGGAAGGAGCATTACAAATATAATCACTCATAGAGTCACAATACTAAATCTTATTGGGGCTTTAAGAATGTCATCCAAGACTAGATTAATAAAAGGGTCCTTAAGTTCTCAAAGGAAGAATCCATGGTCACGGATGAGGATCCATTTCCACTATTTGCCATAGTAAACATGATGGAGATAAACTCCAACAGACGATGGACTAGGAGTAATAATGGTAGGCAAAGAGATGGGAGGCCTTGGAATGTCCGGATGAGGAAAGATGCAACTTAAGAGAGCTCGAGAATAGTATGAGATTTCCTAAAAGAACCTATACGCTGGTCAAACAGGAATAGGTCCTCAAGATGGGATATTAGCTTGGAGAGGCAAAATGTAAGAAGCCTGGACAGCTCTAAAGTAGTTTAAGACCATTTGGGAGAAACCATAGGCAGCTTAAAGATTGACAACCAGTAGACTGTAAAGCAAGACAACAAATAGCCCTTAAAATGGGACATTGTCTAGGGGGTTGCTCATGACAGAATCGGATGGGTTTAAAGTAGTCTAGGACTGTTTAATAGAGCCATCTGGCAAATTCGACTACTTTGTCAAGTACTTAGCACTGTTAAGAGTAGGTGAACCTTTCATAGAGACACCAATGGGCTGGGATGTAAACCTTGATGGTCTATCATTAACATCATGAAAGAGCACCATAAAGCTTTCTTTAAAACTAAAGGTTGCTAAGAGTTCAGGCAGATTCGTTACACCACCTGGTAATGTGTCGCCTTTAAAGTGAAGAGTCATGAGGCACAAAAAATTCTTAGCTATCTTAACCAAAACTTAAAAATGACATCATTGACAAAAGTGGGTTGTACAAAGATACCTTAAATAGTAGAAGGCTGAGGCATAAGAAGGCTCTGACGTACCAGAAACTAATAAATTTAGGAGGAAGTCCACCGACGATTAGGATGAGGGGAGCAAGAATAAAAATCAATATAGTGGGACTATTCATGTCAAGGAGATACATCTTAATCTCTATTATGTTGCTTCATTAATAGTCCCTTTCTAATTTTGGTCTACCACCAGTAGGATCCAGGAATGGTTTAAGCAAACTCCTTAAGGCCAACATACATAGGCCCGTATCGATATTTCTTGATAGAACCTAGGGAGGATGAAGAACCTAAATCGGTGAAGACACAAACGTAAAAGTAGAAGGCTGAAGTAGAGCTCATCTGCCAGGTCACTTTACAAGTCATACAAGGAAAGTTGAAACGAGGCTATCCCGAAGAAGCCAAGTGTTAAGATAACCCAGCACCTGAAGCCCTTATATATTAAGGCACACTTTAATAAGAAGCCAATGATCAGATATTAGTAGATAATAGCTCGAAAATGAATATACTGCCAGCCCATAGGATACTTAAGATAGGGCGAGAGGAATGAGACTTGGTGCTAACAAAAGTGTTTGTAGTGGGATTCACCAAGACTGCTTCTAAGGTCCTTAGTGTATTTCCATTACAAGTCAATATTGAGATCAAATCCTCTTTAATAGCCTTTTTCATGATTAGAACAATAGCATAGTATCAGGCGCTACTAGGTTAGGAGTGGATTTATACTAATGAGTGTATACCTTTATCGTTACACTAAATACTTCTCATATGGAAGGAGAAAGAGGTAGAAGTAGTCTGGGCTAAGGATACGCCCTTCATGATGGCCATTGACTTCATGGATTCAAGGTATTATGACACTGATGTAAGCCTATTCACATTTTAAGGGGCATAAGAAGATTCGAATAGAGCCCTTCCGTGCAAAATAACAACACGTACTATCATACCTCTAACATTATAGAGGCGTGAACCCATCATAAAGTTGATGGATGATTAAGTTAGACTATAAATAGGCCATTAAAAAATTATGGTTACATAACATGCAAGAGAGATTAGAAGACTACAGACCTAAGGCTTTTAAGACTGAGGTCATTTATCAAGATGAAACCCCAAAAAGTAACACAACTATATGAGCTATACCTTATACCTCTAAAGTTCAAAGACATAGCC